CTCTCTCTCACTCCCTCTCTCTCTCCAAATTAATTATTGGTTCTATCGCTCACACGTCCCCTCTTCAGCGATAGGTCATCCAGGTCTTGCATTAATTGCCGGAGCATATGGTTGCCAACAGATTTTAGCTGTGGGACTCGCACTTAAGCGGGGGCTATTTTGCGCGCTCAGATGCGAGCCATATTGTGCGGCGCTGGCAGCTATTGTTCGGCGCATTAACTTCATAGAGCTAATTACTCCCCAATAATAACTTTACCTTGGAGTTTTTAGCGCGCTGCGTGCCAACCAACCTGTTTCGCACCCCATATGTTAATTAGCGGCCACATCTTCATTATACCGCAGCGGCGCTTTAAGTTCAAGCTGTGCCGCCTGGCGCGTGGTGAACGCAGCCTCGACTCGTTGCCAATTATCCAACTCTTACTCCCCTCTCCGTCTCTCCTTCTCTCACTCATTCTCCCTCTCTCGTTCGTTCTGGTGTCCCTCTTGGTTGTTAGTTTTCTGAGAAGTTTTCTCTAGCCAGGGTGAGTCGTCAACGTGACTATCTTTCCGTCCTCTTTGCTCCTGTGAAAGTTCTCAGGAAAAAGTTTCGCACTCTTCCGTTTTAGTATATGAACCTCTCTGCATTCTGAGTGTTTTTCTTTGTTTTGCGCTCCGTTAACGCTGATTAGAGGATTTTTTTTTCAGACGAGTTTTGTTTGTTTCAGGTTTCTCTTCTAGATGTGGAGGAGGGGTGCGGAGATAAAACGTGGAGCCCCTTCTTCTCCACGTCAGCAGCCCACAGTTGTAGCAGTGTGATGTTTTGTCTGTGTGTGTTGTAGGTTTTCATGTTCGCTTTGGGCCTGATGTGAAAGCGAAGCGGAGGAGTGCAATATTCCCCAAAGTGCCTGCTGTTTGAAAAGTGCCTTTCCCTTTATGTGGGATCTGGAGATTGTCTGATAGATGTGGCCTCACACTTCCTCTCAATCTCAGTTTCTTTCACCCTTAAGTTCTCGTGCAGAACTCTTTTGTCAATTAATTTCTTTGTCTCTGATTCTGGAGAGCTCTCTCTCCACGTCATTCCTTCATCTCACTTTCAAAGTTTACATTATGATCGGTGATCATGTGGCTAACATACAGAGCCCGTAATCCTCTTTAAAGTATTGCATTATTGTATATCCAGTATAAGGATAAATATCAGATTAAGTCATTTTGTAGGATGGCAGAGGAATGTAAATAAGAAGGAATGCACTGGGGGCCATGGTCAGGGAGATGAGTCCATTCCAGTGGCAAGTAGACAAACTCCCCTCTGTCCCCACCTTCCTCACCCTCTCACCCCTACACACACACACACACACACACACACACAAACAGTTCAGACAGTTTTAGATGAGTCCCTTGTTGCTCATTGTTAAGCTCAACTTGTTCTGACCCATGTTTTCTGCCTCATATATGTATATGTGCACTTTACAGGTGTGTGTGTGTGTGTGTGTGTGTGCGTGTGTGCGTGCGTGCGTGCGTGCGCCGGTGTCAGTGTGTGTGTACCAGTGAGCATGCTAGGGTAGCGGTGCTGCTCATCAGCTCAGCAGCTGTTACACTCATATCTAACTCAACTATTATAACAACAACATATGGGAGGGATTGACTCCTCCATACACCATCCCTCTGTCTCTGTGTGTCGTTATATTCCGGTTTTTCTTTTCTTCTTTTGGGCCTTTTTCTTGCCATTTTGTTCCTTGTTTTCCCTTTTGCTAGATCTTCTTATTTCATTGTGGAGACTTGTGTGTATTGTGCCACAGTTCTGTAGGCTGATAAATGTCTTCCCATTGTGTGCCAGCTTTTTGTTACGAGACAGAAAGAAGCAGAGATAGACAGGAGGGATGCTATTAAAGGATCTTTTATGATATTTTCATCTGCAAAGAAAGAACGCTAAGCCATGTGCACACACACACACTCACACACTCGTCATACAGTATGTGTGCAACTGTGTCTATGCACAGTATGTACATATTGCAGCTGCCACGGATTCATCCTCTTCTCCACTTCTTTCCTTTCCTTTCCTCTCCTTTCCTCTCCCCTTCTCTCCTCTCCCATCCCCTCCCCTCCCTCCCTCCCTCCCTCCTCCTTCTCCTCCCTACGGTACATTACAGTATTGCTAGCCAGCTCCACTCCAGCATATGTCCAATTAGGCCTGAAAGGCAAAGTGGAAATGTTCTGTCTGTGATTCGTCCCCGCGGGGGTCCTGTCCGAGCATTGCGCTGGAACGCCTCTCCCTTCTGATCGCGTGGCGCAGGCGGCTCAGCGGTTTATGGTTAACCAAAATGGTGGGGTAATTATTGTTTTTGGTGTAAGGGGGGAAACAGGAGCCGCTTGAAGAGAGCGCTATTCCCCCTGCGCTGTGATAGTTTGATTACAGTGCTGCTGCCTGCCGCGTGCCGACACACAGGAGCAGGGGGAGGGGGAGGAGGAGACATACACACAGAAACAAATACACATACACATAGGTATTTACAGTACACAAGCATTTATACGCCCAGGGAAACTTGAGTATTACACACACAGACAGGGGAAGCTGGGAGCGCTGCATGCTCACTCTGAGCGACAGCAGCTCTCTCTCTATTTACCTGTCTCAAACACTAACCACTTCAAGTGCCCACATCACTGAGATATTACCAGTTTGTGTCGTGGCACCGCCGCATTCCTTATGATTGTGGAGCCATTTCCAGCCATTTCCATCAATCCAGATCAATTTTCCACATCAACCAGCTTTTACCTGCTTATTGTCCTATTCAGCTATTACCTCTCTGGCCTCCTGGCAAAATAAGAGGAAGAAAGGGGAGAGGCAAGATGAGCTGAAAAGAGGGAACAAAGTGGTGTGCAACCCGGGAGTATAGGTCAAAGGCCTAAAGACCCCTATCAGGGATTTGATTTAAAGGGGCACACCGTCATTGTAACGCATGCAGTTAGTTTAATCGTCATGAGAAGGGTTAGTCAGCCTGTTAGACCAATTTTCTGCTCACATGAGAAATTTAGAAGTTGATTTTGTCCACTTCGACACGTGAGTATCAGATTTGGTTTTAACTACGGCACAGGAAGGAAAAAATAATTATTATGCCAGTAGAGGTTTTAATATCAGGACATAAACTGAAAACATGGCTGCAAACAATCACGGGACAAACGACAAAGCTTGTCCCTCAAGCCAGCACAGGTGGACTCCTATTACTTTTAGTAAGTCTGTTTCAAACACCTGTTTTTATGGCATTTTTTAATCTTAATGTCTCGCAGAACTGAAAACATAAAAGTCTGAAAAACTACCTGAACATTTCATGAAAAAGTTTTAAGCAGAAGTGCAGTAGTGATGAAACAGATTTGTTCAATAAGTGATTACATTTTACAGGTGTAGGCGCAGCATTGTTGTACTGCATGTTCAAACATTAAAAAGTAAATGGTGCCAATTGGAAACACCACATTATATCTTGATAAATCAAACTTAATAAATTGAAAGAAAGATACAGGGAATAGTTGACTTATAGAGCTAAAGAGTAACTGAGGCTCAATTGATTATGTGATGTCAGAATGTTTCCCACGAGTTTATGGAGAAACGTTGTTTCTTCATCATACCAGAATTACAGCTTTACAGTACAGTAAATATAAGATCCATTCTCTACCTCCTCCTCCTCCTCCTCCTCCTCCTCTCACCTTTTCCACTCTCCCTCTCCTTCTCGCTTCCTCTCCTCATCCCTTCATGTCTTTTTCCCTTTTCAAACTGTCAGTCAGTCCATCACACGCAAGTCTTTGTGTGTTGTTTTTGGCAGAACGCTGTTTAGTGCAACCATCTGTCTCCTACTTTTCTCTCTTTCTGTCTCCCTCTCTCTCTCTCCGTCTCTCTCTCCCCCTCTCCTGTCATCCCTGCCAAAGCCACCCATCGGAGGAGCTTTTTTCTGCATCTCCTTTTAAAATCCTGGAAACCTTGTGAAGTCGTATGGCTCACTGCCGACGCGCACAGAGCGGATTGCGTCTGCGAGTGTGTGTGTGTTTGGGTTGTTTGGGGAGAAGGAAGGGGTTTTGGGGGGGGAGGGTTTGATGTGGGGAGATGGGAGAGAACATCATCATCCAAATAAAGGAAGAGGCCAGCTGTTGTGAGAGGAGAGTGAACTGTCCTTGTGATTCGCTTTTTGTCTTTGAATCAAAGAGGTGGAGTGTGTGTGTGTGTGTGAGAGAGAGAGAGATAGAGAGAGTTACTTTATCAATGTCTTTTCAGACTTATGTCATGTGTGCGTATTCAGCAAATGTCTATGGATGGTTATTCAAAGAGATGTCAAATGTGCTCATGTTTTCTTTCCCCTTTCCCTCCTTTCTTCCTCTTCTTCTTCCTTCCCTCCATCTACCCATCCTTCCTTGCTGCCTTTCACCCCCACCTCTACCCTCCACCCCCGCCTCTCCCACCTTCATCAGCAGGTTCAGGGCCAGCTCCCTCCGCTGATGATTCCTGTCTTTCCCCCAGACCAGAGGACCCTGGCGGCTGCCGCAGCCCAGCAAGGCTTCCTCATGCCCCCTGGCTTCAACTACAAGCCTGGCTGCAGTGAGTAACAACCATGCACAATCACACACCACACACACTTGTGTGCACTGACATTCGTTAGTAGGTGCAACTTGTGGAGTCAAAGAGGTTTTTGTGTACGGTTTTTCAAATGTTTTTCACCAGGCAAGGTAGAGTGTGACCGTTTTCCCACACAAGGACTCGGACTGTTTCCCAAAAGACAAGCTCTCCCCTACAACAACAGCTCTCTCTCTCTTAATAGAAAAACCAGTCAAAATACACCCTTCCTGTTTACACTCTCCACCTCTTTCTCTTTCTCTTTCTCTTCCTCTCTCTCTCAGTCTTTTTGGCTCCTTCCTTTTGTCTTGTCTATTTTTGATGTATAAAACAAGAAAATGCAGGACATGTTTTTTGTTTTTTTTGGCTATCAAGCTCCGGCTGTGTGGCAATGTGTTGTTTACCATGAGAGACAGAAAGAAGAGAGGGAGAGGGAGAGAGAGAAAGAGAGAGAGAGGGTCTGTGCTTGCCAGGGGATGCTGGGAATAAATGCACAGTGGGGGGGGTGGTAATGTGACCTGCCCCAGGTTCTCCTCACATTAACACAGGACGCAGCCAGAACATGTTTCCAACACAGCCCACACACACACACACACACAAACTTCCAGGCAGCTAGAGATGGTTTTGTGATTTTAAGAACACAAAAGAAAAAAAAAACTCAGACGCAGATCTGTGAGCATGCACTGAAACTCAAGCTCGTGCACATTCGTGTCCCCCCTCCTCCTCCACTCCCTTCGAGTTTCACAGCTTCCCAAACAAGTCCACTCAATTTTAATTAGTGCCATCTTCACCCATGCCCACTACCCACGTAAATACCCTGTCAAGTGGTGGGCTTGTCTTTTCACTGCCTCGGCCAACTCCAACCGGACTGGCACGCAGCGCCAGGCTGAGCCGCCCCTGAGAAAACTCTCTGGCAACTTTCAAAGTCGATGAGATGTAGTTGTTTGGTGTTTAGTTTGGTGCCGCGGCTCTAAATAGGACACGTGTAGCATTGTGCTCTGACATATTCTCACGGCACTTCATAGCTTTGAAGATGAGAATAGATTTTATCTGCACAGTATGGACTTCTGTGTGCTGAGTCGCTGTCGGGTTGAAACACTTGTTGAACAGTAACACTTGTTCTGTTCAAGCTTCTAACACAACATGTTACAGCTAAAGATAATGCCTCAGTGCTTTTGCCAGGACTTTCTATAATTTACATTTAAATCTAAACTTGTGCAAAACGGACCTGCATTTTGATTTATGACATGACAGCTGATTTGGAAGTTACTTCTTTGTAAAATAAACTAAAAAGTAAATATGAAATATATTCACAGCACAGCTCTCAGTTACTGAAGACAACGTTTTAGTGATGTTTATGCATAAAATGTTATTCCACATATGGCCTTTGCAGTGCTGAGGTTTGTTGTGAAGATGATAAAATGCTGGAATGGACCTTTAAATGCATTAAGTCAGGAAGCTGAGGGACTCAAGATTAGAAGAAGATAAAGAATCAACTAAGCTTTATGTATTAAATTAGTGCAATGCCCCTCCAAGTTATTTTAAAAATCTAAATTTGTGCATAAATCCACATTAAAGTAACACTGGTTAAATTTTTGCATCTTGCTTCTCTCTTTCTTGCCTCGATCCATCTCCCTCTTTCTGCGTTTGTCAGTGAGAAATTTCGGCCCGTCCACCGATGTCCCCCTGTCCCCAAGCCAAGAGCAACATGTTTGCTTTCCTCCGTCCTTCTCCCTTTTGTTACAGCGACCCCCAGGAGGAGCATAAATATCCACCGGCCTCATGTTTGTCCAATTGAGCTGCAAAGAGAAGAGACCCCATCTCCTAGAATACACAGTCCTGAAATAATTCTCTAATTCCTCCTGCCCACCCCCTCCCTTGCTGGAGAAAAGAATGTCTCAGCTTCCCTTTTTTTTATTTTTATAGTTATATATGGGAAAGTATGTCGGAAAGACAGTCTGGCTCATGCAAACGCACACGCACACGCCTACATGGGTGCACACACGCACAATAGAGGGTCCTGCCAGGGCAAGGAGGCTGAGCACTGCACAGAAAGTCCAGGTCAGAAATGCAAGGTCAGGTCCTGTGAACATTCCCAAGTTTTCTCCACGAAGAGAGAAGTTTCCTCAGCATGACGTCGGTAGAAAAAGCTGCTTGGTGGATATGTTTGTATGCAAAGCTGTCAGCAGGCACATTCTAAATTTTAGCAAGTATGACCATAATTAGGTTCAGTATTCTCTCCTCACCTCCTCCTCTCTTTTCTCCTCTCCTCTCCTCCAATTCTTCTCTTCTCTATTCTCCTCTTGTCTCATCTCATCTCCTCACTTTTGTCCTCTCCTCTCCTCATCCCTGACCTTTCTCCCCCTCCCTTTTCCTCCCTCTCTCTCTGTGAGTAATTACAACACGGCCTATCTGCACCTGGTCACTAATAATCCGCACCCTTCCCTGCACTTCTGTCATCTCTACCTCTGCCCTGTCCATCTGTCTATCTCTTGATTTATCATTCCTGACAGAGGGGTGAGGAGAAGGAGGTGCAGAGTAAGTTGTGAAGAGAGAAAGATGACAAGAAAGACACGAGGAGAGAGAAAGTGGGAGATCGGCGACAAGAGAGGAAAGCAGCCCTCTCCCCACAAAACAGAAGAAGAGACAGTTGAGAGTAGAGAGGAAAAAAAGGGAGAGGAGAGAGCAGTGATGGCGGCTCTTAATTACGGCGCTTGGGCCAGCTTTATCAGAATCCCCTCACCTCACTGCTCTTTGTCAGGGGGTATTAAGGAGGAGGACATACAATCAGGCTTTTCATTAAGGCGCTACCGGCAGTGCACACAAAGGACGGCTTTAACAGCTGCGGAGGGGGACTCAGGTGGTGGTGGTGGTGTGAGGGGGCGAGAAACGAGAGGGGTGAGGTTAAGAGGGGGGGGGATGCACAGAGAGGAAAAAGGAGATTCAAAAAGAGAGGGAGAGAGGAGAAATGAAGGACTTTATGAAGGGGGCACTGGTGTGTAAAAATTGCGAACATGCTAAAACGTGATATTCTCTTTTCTTCAGGTGACCCCTACCCTCTTCAGCTCATCCCCACAACAATGGCTGCTGCTGCTGCTGCTGCTGCTGCCACACCCGGCCTGGGACCCCTACAGCTCCAGGTAAAATAACATATGACAGAGCAAAAGAGACTTTGAAAAAAAAAACATGCTGTTTTCCTTTGCACTTGGGTGGTCCGATTGGGAATAAATCCCCCTCACCCCTGACGGTGCTGACACCACACTGCTGCCCAACCTGCAACACAGGACCACAAACACAGCCACAGGGGTGGATACAGAGCTGTCACTTTCAGCCAAAGTGTGGACAGGAGAGCGATCTCCTAAAAACATGATCTCCACGATCAGAGCTCAGAAATCACATAGAAATGACAAGTGTAACTCTAGCCTTCAGCTACGACCCGAGACAGGAAGTAGATGCGGCTGATGTAGTCACAGTCGGAGCGGAAGTGGGAGTGTGAAGTGTGATCAGAGTTATGTTTACATGTTGTCCCAACTCTTCAAAAACACTTAAACACACCAAAAAGAAGATTTTCTTCTGACCAAAATAGTAGAACAGTTTGGTCAACAGAAGTTACATTATTCAACAAAAACGTGATTTGATAACATACAGTAAAGGCATGAATGGAGACCAATGGGAAAACACATTAATGAATATAAAATCCTGGTGAGTTTACAATAGAGTGGTCCACAAGTCAGTGTCCCTAAATTGTTCCTCTTGTAAGTGTAAAATAATTTCTATAAACATATTCTGCATGTGAATATGCATAGTCTGTGATATATTATTTTTAAAGGGCCAGTCCACATGCATGTGTACTCTTTGAGTATGATAAAGTGTCTGCTACACAAATAAAGGAAACAAGAAAGCAGAGAAGAGACGATTCAGACAAAATCATAGACACGATCATCGAAAGTCAACATCTGTTTTTCCACTTATCAAGATGAGTCTGACTTTGCTCCCCTCTATGTCTGCATGTTTAGAATAAGTGGCCGATCGCTCTGTATAATCCTGACCTCCCCCAACCACCGCTCGTATGCTCGCTATCTCCCACTGACCCCCGTACACCTATAAAGCCCACAGACTAGACCCCACATACAGTACTTCCACTCTGATCCACATAGGCTTTGGGGGGTCCTTTTCTATCTGGGGTTAAGAGCCTGCTCTGGCGCCCTTTGAAACACATTCACCTCTGCAGGTGCTGGCAGTCACTTTGACACATATATCATAAAACTTACCACACATACACACACACTCACACACCTAAGAGAAACAGCTGCATCTCTTTCACTTACTGTTGACACTTACAGAGGGGATGATGGGAAAATATGGGTTAAAGGTGAAGCAGTGTGTGTGTAATACATTTGCACCTGTCAGCCACATATGCTAGACACTATGGGGAGAATAGAGCAGCTATCACGGAGAATGGACCCCTCTGTCGTCACTGTTTTCATTATCACTCGCATGTGTGCGTGTGTGTGTGTGTGTGTGTTCCGACCGAGAATAATGTCCTCTGTGCTGGTATTACTGTTCCAATCTAGCTGTCCATATGTTCAGACTCACTCAAAATCTCCAGTTGCTTTGTCCACCTTGCAATTGGATTTTTTTAAACCAGCAGGGAGGGGTGAGAGGACACACAAAGTGCAAAAACACATCTCACTAGCAGATTTCTTTCTTACAATCCTCCCGGAAAAAAACACACACACACACGTCCGCACACACGCTCACCACACACACTCACACACACAGTCACACTTCAAGATTAAGGCTTTGTCCGAAAGAAACGGATTTGCCTGGGCTGACACAAGTACAGATGTCTCAATGTGGACGGATTTCCTTTGGGATCGCCTCTGCGCCCTCATTTGATAAGGGGGTGTTTATGTTGCCCTAGACTAGACATGACAGTGAGCCGGGCCGCAGGTCACCACGGCAACACATAGGTTTGATAAGAGGACACAAGTGAACCCACTTAGCTGAGATACACACACAGATATGGAGAATTAAAAAATTTGGAAACGGTACACATACACACATAACCATCACAGTATATGTGAACACACCACATTGTACACATTGTGTCATACAGCTATATGAAACACAGAGTAAATCCATATGTTCTTAATTTCAGTGTGAGTTTTGATCAATAAATGTCCTGTCCCTCAAGAGTGTACATGCTAAAAATAGCTGATAAAACAAGTGTATATTTCTAAATTAGTAACTTTTTAGAGGATTCTGACATTACACCATTAACCATTTTGCACATTCCAGTCTTTAACTTGACAGTTTCCTTGGTAAACTGCTGATATAAGGAAAGAAATTTGGGAGATTTTTTCTTAGATTACGCTGCATTAAAACTGTCTGTATAGAAAGAGAGAGGACTTAGAGAGAAACTCTCAATAGCGTGGCTTTGAGTTAAGTGCTGTTCTTAGAAACATGTATTAATCTCTCAATGATTTAAAGCTCTTTCTATGTTTGAAACATCCTCCATAGAAATCTGCAGAGTAGCTCGCACAGTCAATGGGAGCTTAACACACAATCCTCCGCAGAAGGTTTTCAAGGCAACGGACGCTTTGGAGTGTACAAGGTTGGCATTTAGCATCTTAATCTGGGGGATGAGAGTGACATTGTGCATTAGAGCATGTTAATCTGGCTCCCTATTGACCCTTGATATCATTGATATCATCCATGTCACACAAATGGACTGAGGACAGACAGAGCTCCGGGAAAAAAAAGGAAAGAAAAATGCACTTATCCAGGCAAGATCGGCGATAAAGATGAAAAGGCAGAGGTGCCAGAGAGGTATTTAGAAGGATGATGAGTTAAAAGGATAAACTGTGAGAAAGACTGATGAGGGGTGGAGGTAAGTGGAGGAGAAAAGTGTGGATGTGTGAGAGGGGGAGAAAATGTGTGTGTGATATAAACAGGGTCAATGGCGCAGGTCAGGCATCATATGGAGAGGCAGATGTTGGAACATATTGTCCCGGATTACTGCAATGTACACCGGAGAGATGGATAGACGAACAACGGACAGGCGGGCGAGAGGGGGGAGAGGGAAAAACAAGAGAGGCAGGAACAGCTGAGAGGAGGTAAACGGGAAATCAATCGAACAACTCATTCCTCCAGAAAAACCTTATCTGGGGGAGAGAAAGAGTGTAGCGAAGTGTTTTCTGCAGGAAATTGCGTCAGTGTTTGTGGTATCTCCTTCACAGCCTTATAGACCTCGCAGAGTTGCAAGGAAATACCATTTTGTGATAGCGGCTGGGAATCGATGTGAAATCAATAGGCAGAAGAGATAGGCGGCTGTAGTTAGAGAATTCCGCTCTAACACATAATGAGAAAAGGGAAAGGGTTTTCAAAGTAAATAAATCTTAACAATCATTAATCAATGGCATATTATTGGTTTAAAAGATTAAAAGTTATCCATCTATGTGGAATGTTTTTCAAATTTAATTTATGACTTCAGTCACAAATAAGTTTCAATGAAATGAAACTTCAGTCAACTTCTCCATATGTACAGACACACATTGGATAGGATGAGAGTAGTGCAAACCGGAATAATGCAAAAATGCATTGAGAGCGCAATGATACGTACTTCATGGAAAGTAGTGTTATGTACATCCTCAGTATGTTGTAAATAGTATTTAAAAATAATAAATAATCAGTCAATGCACTAAAGAAACAAGTTGATATAGAGGTTTGACATTGTCCAATTCAACACTTGCTTCTTCTTTTTTGTCCTTCACTACCAAAACACTGCAGCTGAAGGTAAACGCAGTGAGACAGAACAGTCAGACAGACAGAACGCCGGAGAGGAATCCATTAAGATCTGTACAATAGTCCTTGTTGTCCATATAAACAAAAGAGCTCAAGCTGCCCTGAAGCGCCGCTAACTCTGACAACAAAGACCAGCCGAGATGGTAATCTGACTAAAGCTGCAGATTATTGAACAAGATTCTCTCTCTCTCTCACACAAACACACACACACACACAAATACACACTCACACACACCCACACACACCATCAATCGCACTAATACCAAACAATCACCTCCATGTCTTCACTCAGAGAACGCAATAGTCACACGTCACCTTCTCACCTCTTGTCAACAGAGCACAGACTGGACATGCTTACACATAAACACATTGGGGGGTGGGTGTCGTGTGACAAACTCACTGACCACTAGACCACTCACACGCACACAGAAAAAAACACATGCAGATGTGTTGGCGCTGGTGTCATATTAAGGGATTATGGACGTAAAGAGTGAGGAGCTCGTCTTAACAGTTCAAACGGACACACACACAGAGATACACAGCTCAGCAGTATGTCTGGCTAGTGAGTGACATTTCACATTCCTTCATTTCATCCTGCAACTACGATTGCATTCCCCCCTTCACTCACTCACTTGTGTGCGTGTGTGTGTGTGTGTGTGTGTGTGTGTGTGTGTGTGTGTGTGTGTGTGTGTGTGTGCCTGCGCCTGTGTGAGTTCGCTCCTCCAGTCACCCCAGGGGGCTTTGTGCTGTCACTTCCTGTTTGTTGACATGTATGTCGTTGTGGCGACGCTCTGGGCGCGCTCCACAGTGCCTCTGCCCTCTGTAATGTGTGTGTGTGTTTTTGTGTGTATGAGTGTGTGTGTGTGTATGAGTGTGTGTATGTGTGTCTGTGTGTGTGTGTCATCGCTCGCCGGCCCATTGAGCAGGCTTTGAGTGACGGGAGCTGGCCTTGTAATGGAACTCAATTCACTCCGCAAATAAAGAGGCCTTTGAACCACTGGTCCGAATATGGCAGGACACACACACACACACACACACACACACACCGCCTGTGGTCCACTCGCTAGGGGGTTTGGCTGGTAGGGAACGGAGGGGGGGGTGAGGGGTGTTCATGCTAGGCTGCACCACCCACCCTCACCTCCCTCCCCACCATCACTCTCTCTCCCAGGAGCCACAGTGCAGCTAATTGAAGAGAAACGGACGAGCGGAGGCTGATCTGATCTCGGCGAGCTGGTCCTCTGCAACCGCGTCCGTGTGGCTCGCCAGAGCATGACCAATCTCTTGCTGATTTCCACATCAGCAGCACACACACACACTCTCCTGCATGTACCTCAATTATCATCGTTTCCCTCTGTGTCTTTAGCAGCAGCAGACACTGTGGGCACAGGTTTCTCCCAAAGCAGGGAGAAATGTCATCAGTGCCTCAGATGAACCTAAACAGTCTCATTCATTGGAGAAGATGTTTACTTTCTTTTTTAAAAAAAATACATATTTTAAGAAGAGGCTTTGACAAAATGCTAAGCTGCAAGAGAGTTGAGAGAAGTCAAACTCGGAGAAAAGAAGTTTCTTCAACACGTGAAAGTTTCTCTTTTCTATAAACATGTTGCTTCTATGTCACGGTTGCATTGTCGCACAGTGAATGTACTCGTCGCCACATGAGTGACAGTCAGGCATGAAGGTGCTTCACATTCAAATATGAGTTTATTCCAGCACAACTACTTCTTTGTGCAAGTGTGTGCTGCCAGTTTGAATGTCTCATATTTTTGTTTCTTGTTTGTATAATAAGAGATAAATGCCTTTATTTAAGATAGCAGAGCAGAGCAGACGCTAATGTGGCTGTCAAGAGAGATAGAGAGTGGTACAAACAGTAAGGGAAAGAGAGAGAGAGAGAGAGAGAGAGAGAGAGAGAGAAATAGCAGTGACAGCATCTCTTCCTTGTCCATTTGCATAAACCAGCCTTTGTTTGACGCTGGTGGCCGGCAGCCAAGCGCCAACAGAAGGACGGAAGTTAAACTTCCAAAAAAAAAAAGAATGGTCCTCTTCCAGAAAAATCTTCCACCAGAAATAAATAACAATTATAACTACTCAAAAAAGAAAAAAAAACACATCAGTTACTTCTTACAAAAAACAACCATTCTGTTGCTCAGAGGAGCGAATAACAATTCTGAGAGAAACAAAAAAACGGCATCTCAGAGATTTGTATTAGCCGACATGAAAGTAGACTGAGCTTCGCAGGATGATTTCGAGGAGGAAGACATGAAGAAGACGTGTTTATGAATGTTGAAGCTCCTTCCAAGTTGTGAATATTATGTTGTGTCTGTTGCTGTGGAAATACAGGCCAGAGACTGTTTTGTGTGATACAATGGTATTGCATAAATATTCCCGAGTATGTTCACACCATAGCGGCTCAAGCCATAATGCTTCTATTTAATTGGAAATTAATTAAATACATAAATAAGAAATGTGGGTAATGTTTTTTTTTGTTTCCCTCAGCAGTTATTGAATCAGTTTATCTTTGTTTTAGACAATTTTATAGCGTTTTGGTGCGTTTTTGCATCTTATTGTCGGCGCACTTAAAACATTGTGGGGCACAAGACACTTCTGGCATGTCCCATCTGGCATGTAGCTCCACGAATTTTCCTCCCTCTCCTTCTTTCTCTCTCTCTCTCTCTCTTTCCCTCTCCATCATCACTTTTTTTCACCTTGAGCAAGTGCCGGGCTCTCCGGCGTGACCTCGATAGCCAGAATGTTTTCCCTTTCTCCCACGATGCACCTGGAGGGGACATGGCCATCTCTGGGCCTGTCAGAGAGGCTGTTAGCGCTTCTCCCATGGGGTGAGGGAGGGGGTTGACAGTGGAGTCGTCCCTCTCTGTGTCTCTCTGTCACACAAACACAAGCCCGGCCACTAATGGCCTCTTCTTCTTCTTCCAGAGCTTTTTAGCCGCCGACTTCTTTTTTGTTTGTACGCTCTCAAGTATTCATTTATTCATGTTGTCCCTTTCTTCCCCCCCCACCCCCTTCCTTCCATCTCCTTTCTTACTATCCCTGCCGCCTCCTCCCATCTTCCCCCCCTCTACCTGTCTGTCTCTCTCTCTCTCTCTCTCTTACCTTGCAGCAGTTGTATGCCGCTCAGCTGGCGGCCATGCAGGTCTCCCCGGGGGCCAAGCAGCACGGAGGCAGCCTGCAGCCCCAAGCCAACCTGGGCAGACACTCGCCACCCAGCAACACACACTCCCACAGCGACAAAGGCCGCAGCTCCCCGCAACAACACAAGTCCAAGGTAAAAAGAGAAGTGTGTGCATGTAACACAGTTTGTGTTTAATACTAGAAGTGCCAGATGAGTTTGCGAGTCAACTTTCAAACCTCTATGATCAATATAAGCTATTATTTTCCATTCCAGTTCAGTTTTTTCTAGATAAAGTATTTTCTGAAAATTCAGCTATTGTCCTGATGGTGGAATAAAGATTCTTCTATTTACTTTTTTCAAGTATTTTCAGTGCAATGAACTGCCCAACTCTTTCTTATTTTAAACATAGACAATAATCTTTCCACAAAAAAAGTGGATTTCTATTTAAATCTATTCAACATTGGCAAATTCTTCCACTTTTTGTGACCTCTGCTAACTGTTCACACTCTGGCGTTCTTGGTGTTTCAACACAGACTGGGATTGTCTTTCACTGAAGTGCATGGTCTGAAAATTTGTGTCCAGGCTTGTTTGATTGTTGCATCGCTTCCCGAATCTTCTATGATGGCCACCTCCTCATATTAATGCACGCCTTGCTCCAACTAGATCCTAAATCCCACAGTCACCTCTGCAAGTCAAACACCCACAACTTTTATCATAGAACTTTAGCTGGCATGTGGTCACGGTGGACTTTAGAATGTATTGGTGTTTGTGCCGTTTTCTCGGCTGGCTGCCCAATAGGGGCGAGGGGAAGTCTTGTGCCCATTCAAGTGGAATTCTATGAATATCTGGTGGGCTGCTGAGACCCCCACTACCTTCCCCCTCCCATAAACACACACACAAGCTCACACACACACAAACACACATTACCCCTGTGACCCTTGCTGTCCTCTGTCTGCCCAAAGATCCCCCCCCCCCCCCCTTGTCACACAGGTGTAGTGGTCAGTCACAAATCAACACACACACACACACACACACACACACGAGTGTGTGGGACAACACTATTGAGATCCCACTGAGTCTGACAATCTCACAATATCACATTACTCAAAATTTTTTTTCTTTTTTCTCATCTCTTCCCTCCTCCTTTAGTCTCCTCTCCTTTTCTTTCCTCTTGTCTCCTCTGTCCTCCTTTTGTCTCCTCTCCTCTATTCTTTTCTTCTCTCTCCTCCTTTAGTCTACTCTCATCTCCTTTAATTTCCGACTTTTCTCTTCTCCACTCTTTTCCTATTCCTTTCTTTCCACATTTCCACTTATAAATCTATTCTTTTGCTACTTGCAACTTAGTCATCCTCCATCATCAACTTGTTCTTGATCTGTACTAAATCCTGTGATCTCACAATCAAACACACACTGTTAGGACAAGCTCCTGGTCCGGATTAAAGTTCGTGGTTGACCCCAGATCTTGCACCCTTGCTTCCTTGTCCCTCAGCCCTTCCCTCCACACACACACTACCATTCCAACCCATTGACACACGTCTTATTACCATATATATGGAGTTGGGCTGACAGGCAAGTGCTGCGGCCTGTGGTGGAGGGGACGCAGGAAGCTGTAATGGACTCCCCAGTCCAGCCAACCCACACAGACCTGGACAGGCCCCATGGAGCCAAAATGGCAGATTGACCGCAGAGCTGTTTTGGTGTCACTCCTCCATGCAGTAGTTCTGTTTGTTAGGTCATGCCCCTTTCTTTTTTTCTCTGTCTTTGTCAATCTGTCAGCCTTCTTCTCCTCTTTTTGATTTCTTTCATTCAGTCTAAACACTGCAACACTCTCGCTCTTTCTCAAACTCTCTCTTTTCCTGTCTCTGTCTCTCTCTCTCTCTCTGGGTGAGTGACATGTATATTTCAAAGGTGTGCTCCCCGTGGGCTCTATCTCAGGTCTCTAGTCATTTAGAGACCTGCTGCCTGCCTCTGCTCACAGCTGTTTGGTCTCAGGCACACAACGCTTAAGTGCTTTACCCTCGGGTTAGACACAGACACACACACATGTGCAAATGCACGGGCACACACACACAGGTGTCGAACAAGATACCAACTAGAAACCATGCACCCCCTCCCCTTACACACCCACATGCACACACACAGCTATGCAAAAAAAAAAATCACTGCAGCATACATGCAGTTTTCTTCCATGCAAGAGTGCATTTTTAGGCAGGCATGCATACAGTCCAGTCGCTGACGAGCCTCACATACACACACACACACACACATTGGCGGATAGTAACTAAGTAAGTAGCGTAACTACAATTATACATTACTTTAGTATCTCGTCTTTTTTAAGACAGTGTACCTCTACTCCACCACATTTAACAGGTATAATAACATGTACATATTAATATTTATATGATATTTTTTTACTCCACTACACATGCACTTGTTATTATAACTATTATTAGATATGTATTACATATTATTATGTAATATATTATATAATAATATATAATTTATTTTGTATGTATATTAAGACGTTTAAATGAAACCCACCTCAAATAGTAGCATCACATGCTTTCTTCATGCAACAAAAATAATAAGGTAATATATTGCATAATAGATTTATATTGTATCACTCTTAGAGGAGCCAGTCTCTATACTTAATATACAATAAACCAAGATTGTATCTTTACTCAAGCTCTATTTAAATTCAAGGCTTTTAGACCTATTAAGTATTTGTACAATTGTATTACATCTTTTACTTAAAAGTCTTGTGTCTAACTGCTCACATGTACACTCACATTTGAATTTCAGATGTAGCATGCACCTGTAATGGAGACCAAAACCTCAATTTCCAACATCTGGCATAAATTGACAATATGCCAGATGCTGTCAATAGTACACACACACACACACACACACAGACACAGACACACAAACACACAGTGCAGACCCCTATCATCACTTAAAAAGGTTTTCGGAAGATGTTTGTGGCTTTTGATTTGCTTTTTTTGGCTTAAATGCAATTTATGTCCGTTGATGTCCTTTTATAACCATAAAAATATAAACTAATTTGTCCTTGAGTTGATATCACGTATGAGTCAGCAATTAGAATTAGAATATTTATTTTTTATGGCCTAGTGCAGTTCAGGGGATAAAACTGTCAAAGGTAAAGTCACGTCTATGTGAATGTTGTTGACGTACTAATTTGTATTCCCCAAATACAAATTAGTAGAAAATGCAAAGCACGTTTGCATACTTGAGGAATTAGCATTTGAATCTGTGCCATATACTGTAAGACACAGTGTCATATCTGCCTCCTCTGTGTCGTCAGCTGTCTGATAGAATTAGATATGACAATATAATTAATATCCGAACAGTCACTTGTAGCTGGAAGGAAAGGAAGAGGGGAAGGAAAGAGAGACGGGAAGAGAGAAATACAGGAAGAGAGGCACATGTTAACATTTGGATGTGGACACACACTGACCAGGATAAACGACAGCAGAGCGCACACTTGTTCTGTTAATTGAACCGTCAGCCTCTGTGATAAGATGCAGAGGCCTGATGTTGCTTTCACATGTCTGCAATCACTCACACATAAACACACACACGTACATGCATTCTCTCCCTCTCTCTCTCTCTCTGTCCCTCTGGCTCTCGCTGTCGCTTTGCATGTTTTCGGCCTCAAAGCTGGAGACTGTTTCATCAGCCAAGAGAGACACAAAGCAATTGTATTAATTCGAGATTCCAAGCCTTTCAGAGGCTTTGGAGGCCTCACACACACACACACACACACACACACACACACACACACACACACACACACACACACTGTCATGAGATTTAGAGCTTGTTGAACAATGACACACACACACACACACACACACACACACACACACACACACACACACACAAACAAGTCGGTCCAAGCCTCTCAGCTCCACTGTCTAAACTAATTCCTCCACACTGGCATAATGCAGGTTGGCCACCTTCCCACCATAGGATTTGGCTTGGCGCAGAGAGGAAACCCCCCTACCCCATCCACTGTACAAGAGGCGGAGGCATTATCTATTTGTAATAAATATTCAAACATGTTCGCAGCCAAAGCCCACCATAGCACGGGGTCAGGATTGAGAAGATCCTGCTCAGTTTTTTTTCTCTTCCCGTCTCTCTTTTCTCTCCTCTTCTTCTTCGACCCATTGTCTCACTAAAGGCATCTTTGGGGGTCCCTCCGTCTATTTAGAAAGACCCCCCTAATGAAGGACAATCCGGTTAGGCCTCATCGCACACGAACGCACACACACACAAATTTGCGATAGCACACACACACACAAGCATGTACACATGTAGGGGCTTAATTGGAAGGGCTTAATTGAGTTGTGAGGGGCTCATAAGGCTTAGTACGACTCAAGGAGTGGGAATCAGGAAAAGTCAGTCTTAATGAGTAGAGATACTGCACACACACATACAGTACTTGCTACTGTATGCTGGATTCAGCAGCAATTAGACTAATGATCCGAAAAATGAAGAAAATAATGTCTGAACTATTCAGTGGTTTGAATTTAACTATGATAGATCCACACCTGTAATGCTTAAAGTTCCCATCTAAAATCCACACATAAAGACAATTAATACATTAGTATAAGTAAAGTAAGTAAGTGAGTAAAACAAAATAACCTTAAAAATAAACAAAATGTATTCCTACAGCACACACACACACCCTGTCGTTGTGTGTCTTTATTGGCGAGCCCATTAAGCCGTCCCTCGCCCCATGTTGTGTCTGCCTTTTAATTGCGAGTTTTAATTACACAGAGTGGTCCGTGTACATCTGGTCCCTGGGCGTTCTAATTCCTTCTTTCCTGTCATGTGACCCTCGGAGGCTCCCTCTGATTGGATTAGGTCACCGGCAGGGGTGGTGTTGCCATGACGATTAACGCAATAACAGCTCCGGGCTTCATGTGGCGGTCCACATGGCGATTCATTTAGGGGACCGCAGTCTGGTACATGCATTGTTTGCCGACATTGGTTGATTTAGATGAATTATACAGATGTATGAAAACAGGGTGATAATTGAAATCATAATACATGGTTTCTACTTTAATATACAAATACTCAAAAAACGGATACTTCAGAAGAAGGTTGGGGTGTAAGTGTGTGTGTGATTTAGGCAGAAACTGCTGCTGGTCTCCTGTGTCTAATGGAGTAAGTGCTCATTGAAGTGGCAGGCAGTCCTCTGTTCTGTTTGCTGTTTGATACACCGAGACGTCACAGTGTCTTTAGTCTCTCACGGCTGTAGAGACAGTCCACTGTGTTATATTTCTCAGAGGAGTCCTGTGTTGTTTACAGACTCAGTTCAAGGTGTTTCTCCTCCTCACATGTTGGATTGTTGTTCGCATCGCTGCCCTCATTTGCATCATTTGTCACGGAGCAGTGTTATAAAGTACTACATGTTTACCGGAGTCTGCATGTAGTTTGTGTATGTGCATGTGCATGAGTCATGTTGTCTCTGGATTGTTTGACGGGTGATCAGTGGTTTGCACCAAAAGGTATGAATATTTATTTCTTGTGTGTTCTGTTAATTTGTTTCACGTATGATGAGCTGTATGGAGACGGAGGCAGTGGCATGCACCTTGTTATCTGTCCCGCCGGGCTTGCATCAGATTTGCTATGCATGAGTTTCCCCGTTTGATCCGTTCGAGTTTGTCTCGGGTGAGGGACGGTGAGGGGGTCCCTCCGGCCTCCCGCTTCAAAATTGCTACGGTGGTCACAGCAGGCGAAACTGTGCTGTTTTGGTTTTTGCAGGACAGTGAGGGTGCACAGCCACTGAACCTGTCGGCCAAGCCTAAGGCATCCGAGAGCAAGTCACCCAACTCCCCCCCAACTTCCCCACAGGTCCCTGCTGCCGCTGCTGCCAAGCTGGGCCCCGTCGGTTCCATGAAGCACAGCGTCCCCTCCAGCATCGGAGGACCACCGACCAGAGTCAGCTCAATAGGTAAATAGAATGAAATGTCCATCACACACACACACACGCAGAAACTTAAGGGCTTAAGTTGTTATAACACAGTACTAAAAAAATGAAGTGCTAGCAAGATGGTCACAGACTGATCTTGTGCTTACTTTCATTCGGTCATAGCAATTGTATGTCACATGTTGCTTAAGCAATATTTACTTATGTTGAGGGCATTGCAAAGGTAGCTGCCTCAATGTACCTCTTTTTTCTCACCAAAATACCTCTAGCTGTCATATACACGAGTGGCGCAAAACAATGCGAAAAATGAAAGCGATGGAGTGTTAAACACAAAAATAGCAACTATTAATTCAACATACATTTTTGATCCTCATGAAAATGTTTAGGTTAACTAATATTATTATTAGAAGTAGTGTAAGTAGTAGTTGTAGTAGAAACAATAGGAATAAAAACCTATGATAATAATAAACCTTATAAAAAGTGTTTTTATTTATATGTACATCTTTAAGGAAGACAGTGATACTTCTGCTGGTAGTGGCAAAGTGGAGAATAGTGTTCTCCTCGTTCTCCTCCATGTTGCCCGTGCCAGTACTATAATCATACCCGGCCATATGCACACATGCATAAAATACGACACAAACAAATCACTATTTTTTGTACTCTTAATCCATTTTTCACGCAACACTGATAGTTCAAATATTACACATATGTAACAGGCTATAATTAGTGTGTTTGTGTTTTTGTTCCATGTCGCTGTTTGCCTCGGGGCTGCTTCATTGTTATGTGTTTATTAGTGATTGAAAGAGACAGAGAGACATAGGAGAGATAGAGAGGGAGAGAGAGAGCAAGAGAGAGAGAGATGGGGATTAGCACTTTTTTTTTCCAAGCGATGAAGCGAGGGGGAATAATAAAGAGAGGAGCACATGACAGACAGGAGGTATCACCAATGAGATTAGACAAGCCTCTTACATGAGCCAGGACAGCGCAAACACCCAGCATTAATGACACAATGACAGCACACACACACAAAGCCTCACACACACACACACACACACACACACACAGCCTCACACACACACACACACACACACACACAAAGCCTCACACACACACACACACACACACACACACACAAACACAATCCCACCTCCTCCTCCTGCAGTTAGTCATTTTTTTCTGACTTCTTGGCTAATCTCACTGTTTTTCAACACATCGGCGGATTTAATATCAGATTAGTGGATTTGCAGTCCCAGATGTTTTTTGTTCAGAAAAATGGATTACAGTGTTTAAAGTTTGTGTGTGATCCCTGCGGAATTATTTGTGTGTGGATACCAGTGTGTTTTTGTGTTGCACATCCAAGTCATGTCATAGGAACACAAAGGTCCCATCTGTTGCCACTGAGTTTACTCAGGCAGGCACCAGCACTTGTTATTATGGTTCATAGTCATATTAGGAATCTTTTTACAAGTTCAGAGGGAGATAGAGGGGGCGGACAAATTGGAAAAGAGTCTAGAGGCGGTCGTTTGATATGGGAGTGAGCGTGTGTTCAGGTTATTTAAATTAAGGCAGGAACAGACGGACAGACACACATGCATCCATCCATCCATCCATCCACTCAAACAAAACTGAAGGGCTGTCAGCGTCTGCAACCTCTGCCACAATCATACATTTGTTTTTTGTCCCTCATCTGTGTTTCTGTGGTGAAAATGTTTTGCGCCTGTCTGGAGAGATTTGGTGCCCAGAGACTAAACTTGTGTGTGGGGGGTGAGAAGAGAGAAGGAGAGAGACCCCCTCCCCTTCTATCTGGGTCACATTCACTTGTCTGGATGGTCTGCATTGCTGTCAGTCTGAGAGCGACTCGTACACAAGAATATATCGGTCCCCCTCCCTCTCTTTTGACACCAGATTAAAATTGACTGCCACCCGATTCCATCGCCTGCTCTCCTCTCCCTCCTCTGTTCTCCCCGCCCCCCCTTTTCGGCCCCCGCTCACATCCAGATTTTCCGGTTATGACTTCTGAAAGAGTTCACGGCTCTGTCATTACCAATCTGAAGCTGGTAATCTGGCCTGAGATGGCATTAGCGGTGCGGATTAGCGCAGATAAAGGCCCCATAAACCAGCCGCGGCTCTTTGTTAAGAGCTAACACGGCTGATAGAGAGAGCGATAGCAGTGCACACAGTCACTCACAAACACACACTGCAGTCAGGGCAGATACCTCGGATGCCTCATCCTAAACTGCGAAAATAATACAAGTAATAGGTGGCAGGAGATCTGATCTTTGTCGGGTGGCAGGGCAGATGTTCTCTGGTGGGGAAATTAGCAGGACTTTTTAGCCTTAATAAGAGTCATCTGGTCACCTCAAAGTAGAACAGTGACTGTTCAGATGAGAGGAGGCAGAGGTGTGTGTGTGCGCGTTTAGGTGCCAAAATAAAGGAAGAGGAAAGTGATTGGAGGATGTTTAATATGATTTTAGTTAGAAGTCTTGATTAAGTGACTGTGTTCAGTACCGTGGAGTGTGTGTACGGCTGAAGGCAGGTGGGGAGGTGGTGGGCAGTATGTTCCAAGGCTAGCTATGGGCAGACTATGACTCACATGCCCAGCTCAACAGGCTAAAATGGTCAGTGCGTGTGTATGCCTGCAAGTCAGAAAGAGACGCACACAGAAAATGAGAGTCATACACACACACACACACACACACGTATATATAAATGCCCATGCTCACACACACACACTCCAAACTCCCTTCATCAAGTGCACGTTAATGTCCATAGATTTATTCCAGATACCTCCAAAACCTCCTGCCAGCCTCCCAAACCTAAAGAGACACACACACACACCAAGTACAAGTAAAGTAGATAAAGATCTAAAGCTCTAAATGAATCAAATCAAAAATTTCACCCACTATTGACAAATGCACAAAACCAAATAAATTGCTTGTCCTCTCTCTGAGTCTCTGTGTCTCTGTCTGTGTCTCAGCAGACTTGTTATCATCGCTGTCCTCGACAGCCTACCTGAACGACCACGAGGCAGTGAGCAAGGCCTTCGCTGAGGCCCGGCAGATGAAGGAGCAGCTAAAGCGGGAGCAGCAGGTCCTGGACGCCAAGGTGGCTGCCGTCAGCAACCTCAGCCTCAACAACGGACGCACTGACAAGGTAGACAACTCTTAATTACACCTAAAAAAATGGGCATGGGGTCAAACTATGCTGTAGTTAAAGTTTAGAAGGTGAAATTATGCTTTGAATAAAATTCAATGATACAAAATCATTGGTATTATTAAAAAAAACAATGTGTATTCAATGAAAAGATCCATAATTGTAACTTTAAGACCAGAGTCTTTATTTATATTTGTTCTGGTCTTTGGGATGCAAATGCATGCAGGACTTTTAGGAGAAATGAGTCCAAAAACTCAAGTGATTGCAAATGTCTAAATTCATAAATTCTCCCAAAAGGAAGAAAAAGAGTCCTCACAAGCTGCGTCGCCTCATTGTTCGTGTGTAATAATTTGTCGTGCCATCCCTACCGCACCATGTAGGAGGCAAATCAGTGTACATTGTGCTTGCTGAAATGTGCTGAAGCTAAACAGGGCCAGATAAGGTAAAACCAGAGGCGTCTCAGAGGTAATGAGTGTGTCTGTAAGGCGCACTGCGGGGCTACGTGCGTGCGTGTTTGTGTGTGTGTGTGGCAGAGCGGAGCGTCGGGGAGACAGTAATGCGAAGTGACGGCACAGGCTCCTCGGCAGCGTGGCTAAATTGTGGTTATTTGTTAAACACATTGGGAGTCAGGTCGTGCACGCTCGCTCAAACACACAGAGCGAGCAACAGTGCACTTGAAGCATCTGCACCGCTGACACTCAACATCTCTATCTGTCTCTTTCTGTTTCAAACAGTCAAACCCACACTGTATTCAGCCCAGGTTTATTGTGCATGTTAAGACAGAGTGTAGACAGTAATCCACTGGTACAGTGTAATCGCTTCAGTCTTATAAAGATCTACAAGATCCTGAAGAAGTTCAATAAATTATGCAGGAAAGTTTCATATTTTTCTGCATATTTTATAGTTTGTGCAACACGGTCATTGCATTAGATGG